ATATTTGATGCTTTTCCTCACATGGACGTCACCTTTCAAGCACTCATTTTTAATTTGACATGAACTCCCACTCATTCTAACTTTGTTCGCGATATAATTTTTTTTTGCCATCCCCTTATACTGTATCTCTCAGTTTCTGACATTTTCAGTACTTCATCAAGACACATTACAGTACTGTACATGGTCAAGGTACTCCTTCTATTGATCAGATATAACCAGCCTTGATCAAAATGCTACAATTACAATGACTGAACAAGATGTGCCCCTTTCTTCAAGAAAATCCTCATACTTAAGCAAGATTCTCCTCGTACAGTACAGTACAGTACAGTACAATACTTGAAAAAGACACTTTCAGTACATAATCCAGATACATGATTGAAGCATTGTGGAAATAGTTCCCATTTTATTATGTCCATATGAACAAATGGTTGATTTCCATTACCCTATTACTGTATATTTCTCAATCAGTTATACTACTATCAACACTACAGTATACATCTTCTCAGGAAAATGGCTTACTTATATACAGTTTGTTAATGCCCAGCTGCTCCACACTCATATTCCTGTACTTGGAGTTCCTCACTACTGTACATTGCTAATAAGTACATTACTGTACAACTTACAACCACACTGTTAACAAAACCATGTCTGACTATAACATGAAACATACATCATTTATTCTACCAGTTACAGGATATCCATTAAAATTAGTAACAGTACTGTACAGGAATAAATTACAGGCACTAGATTTTTAATATTAATTTACACTCCCAAAACTGCATTAATGGACATAAATAAATATGAAATAATGTAAAATACTGCAGAAGTCATGACTACCTGTATACCTGCTTATCCTTGGTACAGATATCTGGCCTAATATACAGTACCTGTATATGTAAGCATATAAATTTCTAAAATGTTTCAAATGGAGATGCCCCTGAAATTATAACTTTCGATCAGGCTTAAACCATAGTTTAATTGTGCCGTGCAAGATCTCTGTTTTCATTGAACAATACATACAGGTATTCTTAGATAAAAAATATCCTTCCATTAGAATTAGTATTGTATGACATAACAGACTTCAGAGAGAAAAATATTGCTACTGTACTGAAGAGAATAATGAAGAACAAAGCTTGCAGATAGTAGAGGGAACACTTATGTAAAGTGGGAAGGTTGTAGGTCAAATGGACTAGTCTTAATGGGTCCAGTGTAACTTAACCAGTAAGATTGCAGGTAAATTACATTCGAGCCTAACAAAACCAGATCCCATTTGACCAGTCACACATGGAAATGCTGCAGTCAGTAATCTCCATAAATGTATGGCTTGTCTTAAATAAAAAAATATGGTAAATAAAGTGCAAGATACATTTTTCACATGCTGGAGAGACTAACTTATCCTGAAATAAGACAAGTGAATAGGCAATGGATTTGAAAGAATTAAGCAGCTAAAATAAAAAGGTGTGATGTCAGGTGAGAAATGAGAATAAAAATGAGGTACTGTACAAACATTTCAAGTCCGAGAGTAAAATACAGTACTTATACTGGTATGTATGCAAGAGGATAACAAAGTTTGGATGAGTGTGAGGTGTGCAGAAACTGATGAAAGTTGATGAAACACTTCCCGGGCTGTTAAGCAACAAGCTGCACACTTTAAATAAATGACATATATACAGTACATAAAACAATTTGAAATCAACGTCACATTATTATTATTATTTTTTTACTCAGGAGTAAGAGGTACACAGTAAAAAAGTACCACATGGATTATGTGCGAAACAATATGACACCACAGACGAGGGATAGTGGAATATGCATGTTGGTCCTGTATTATGGCGGCAGCCCTGCTTTCCTTGCCTGAGGGTGTCCTCACATATCTGTTGCCCTACCATAGTTAGGTGGAAACCTTTGCCATACAGGCACGCATACCAACCCTCCTAGCACATCAGGTGGATCATTACGGAAGTCAGCAGGGTCCCCCTGAACGATACTTTTTTTTGTGTGTGTACATAGTTCAGCAGAAGTGACACACTTCAAAAGAGTTCGCCTTCATTTTTAATAAGACAAATAATAATTAAATGTATTCGTTATCTTCCACTCCAGTATAGCATAGATCAAGGGATACAGAATGGGGGAGTGATGGGTAATAGTAGAGAAGAGTAGTGCAAGTGTGGAAAGTAACAGAAAGTCGATAACCTAACAAGCAGAAATAGACACACACACACACGGTATGTGTTCATAGCCTCAACCTACATACATAATGTAAAAAGCGAATCTTTAGTCTCCATATAAATTTGTAATGCTTCATATCAATTCTGTGAACATACTAAGCTGAGTCCTTAATTATATTTATGCATGGCTTTCGTTTATTCTTTCAATCAGCGTATATGTACTGTATTGGAAAAAAATACCTCGGCTAACAAACTCGGTGAATATATACTGTACAGTAGCCATTAACAGATACTGTACTGTAATGATTAATCAGTACAGAGTATGTGAAAATAAATATTTACAGCAGTGAATACAGTGAACTTTAATCTTTAAAATTTGGCATCTATGTTTGTAACGGTAATAACTTTCTTGATTCTGGCCACTCTGCTCCATAGTGGAAAATGGCTTGGAAGAGGGTTGAACATTGTTAGGTGTTGGTTATATAATGGGTCTAAAGTTTAGTTCCCTGCCATGTTTTGGTTAGTCATTACTACTGTATCATCCTTGGTCATCACTATTATTTAAACAAGAGGCCAAAAAGGGCTTGACACTCCTCAACTGTAGGAATTCAGGTAATACGGTACAGTAATCACAAATTTAATAATTGAATTTGCCATCCCAGTAAGTTTCTCAGATTTTTTTATATACCCGTAAAGTATATATAGTATAGAATCTCTTGAACAAAACTGAAATATCCTTTACAAAGATTGTGTATTATGATATTTTAATATCTCTCAGTTCAGTGGTTCTGGAGAAATTGTTGATAATTACCCTGTGTTGATGTATAGTATATGTAGTACTTTTAAGAATAATCATTGCACAAAAATAACTAGAGTGCATTTTAGTCTTTTCTGCCCTAAATTACCCATACCTGTACCTCTCTTAGACTTGCATTTCTACTGTCAGTGTTATATTGCACAAAAAACAGCTTAATTCTCATATTATATTTTAAAGTTGTTTGATTAAATTTATATAAAAGTAACATTTGTGGCCAAGAATACACAAAAATGTACAATATAGAGATTAGAACAATGAAAATTTTTTAGGCTCCTCTATACTGTATGCCTGATTAGGTATACAGACTGTTAACATAATTACAGTACCTGTACTGTAGTATTTAGTTTTGGATACAGTACTGTACTGTATTGATATATGGAGGACTAAAATTTTTAGATTATTTTTTGTTACACTTTTGAATTAGTATATGGTATTAAATATTCAAGCTATCTCATTATTTATTACTAGATTTTTTCGTTTGGTATTCCTGCCTTCTATTATTAATAGAATACACTAACAGTACCAGGAATATCAGTAGGAGCATATGTGTTTTATAAACACAAGTCTAGTTGTCTTCTTATTTCATACAGTATTTTGTAATATTTTATTCAATTTATTTTAATGTAGTTAAATCATTTATCATCGTATTTGCACCTCTTCCTCTCTGTTACTTTGACCAGTAAGGAAGCATTCATACTGAGGCAAGAATTGGACATACTGTATTCTGATGCATATTGTCTGACAGTTTTGTCTGGAAAAAAGGCAGACAAGGGATAACCCGTTCCAATACTTCACATTCTGGCCGAGTTGTTCACACTGCCACATCGGATTATGTAAGAATCTACAATGGATTATTCCTTGTCCTGGGATAAGAATAAAAAGAAATTAAAAACAGAAGAGAAAAAGACTACATTACAGTACTGTATATTAATCTACACCACGAGGATGCCGGAAAACCAGCTTTTTGAAGTGAGACAGATTGAAAGAGTATGGAAACACAGAAGACAGAGCATTCCACAGTTTGGCTGTGTGAAGAAAGAAGGATGTACTATAACGGGTTAATTTAGTGTGATCGACATCCACAGAGAAACGGCGGACACCGCAGGCAAGAAGAACCCATGGCCTTGCCAGCAGTACACAGGATGCCAAATCCACAGAATATATGTCTGATTCTGGCCTCATTGTGAATGCACCCATAGTCCGACACATCATACATCAGTTATTACTGACATTGTACCTCAGCATTGTCAGGTCATATTACGGTAAACCCTCGATAACTGGGAATATATATGGGACCCTAACCATTCTGAGTTATTGAGGCACTTTCCTTCCAGTATTTCATCTCTTTCAGTTTTCACAATAACCTCTTACCCCAATACTCAGGGATTTCAATTTCATTCCTATCCTACTAGGCCTTGGTGATGGTACAGAAGCCATATCTATGAGGGTTGAATAGCACTTTGCACAAAATGAAAATAAATAAAGCGATTGGGGGTGGGTGTTCTCACACTAGGCTAACTGACGTTTAACTGAGTGGCAAAGCCTTCCCCACATTCTGCATGGGTACCATGTGTTGCACCATTCCGAGATTGCCCAATCATAACTTGGAATATTATAAATTATGTAAAAATTAATTTACAATTGAAAAATTTACTGCCATAGTGAGTTATAAAGAATTATGATTTATCAAATTTCAAGCTATCAAGGGTCTATTGTAGTAGTAATATTATAAATGATGCATCTACCTTGACCAACAAAAATAACCCAAACTCTCATTATGTAGACTAGTAGTGTCCCCAACAACCTCAAACAAGAACCTACCATGATACACATACACTAGAATTGAAAACAATTCAGTGAGTCTCAGGAAAGTTGAGCAAAACTATATTTAGTATAGATGGACAACATTCCCAGTAACTGTTACATCCCCGTGAACTTTTGGTCGGCAGATAAAAACCATAATTACACATCAGTCAGGAATTTAGGATGGAAAAAGGTGGCTCTAATATCAGCAATAATATTTAGAAACTTTATTTGCTTTATAAACATGACAAGAGGCAGCATGTTGCATGGGTACCACTGGGCTAACACATCCCATAATATTTACGGTAAATTTCATCTTGGGAGAACACAAGGATCATTATAACTATTATCACACTAGGATGGAAAATTTGGTCTTTTAACCACAATGGGATAAGAGATTCACTCTTGATGGCTGTCAGATTCATTCCTATGATAACTGGGATAAGAGATTCAATTCTGTGATCTCTTGGACTAAAGATTTGATCCAATAGGCAGTCATTGACAAATAGGATACCATAGCAACACCATAACTGAATTTGAATCTACAGGTATGGTCATTCGGTGATTAGAGATTTGATCCACAGACCACATTGAGTTGGCCTTTTTAAACTACAAACCACTGCATTCACAGAGCAATCTTTTTTTTTGTTTTTTCTTATAAAGGCCCAAAACACAGTACAGGGGAGTTAGTCCATTTTTAAACTTGACCAATTAGAGAAGTGGAAAAGGGCATATAGAATATTAAATATAAAAGGGTACGGTAAATAAAAAAAAAAAATCCTTCTTGCAATTTCCCACACTTCATGGGGTGCCAATCCCAGGTGAGAAAGGTTAGTGTAGCCCAGGGCATTCATGTGGCTATTGGCCAACAAGTGGCAAACCGATATTCCCAAGCACTCATGGGTTGAATCTAGAGTGCTGCCACCAGAGTAATTGCACACTTAACTGCATAAGGTAACTTTAACCCCTTGGATATGAGGGGTCTGTCTGTGCTGAATAAAATCATCTGGCAATAGCCAAATAAAATATTAAAAAGTGGTATCTGATAGTGAAGGCGCTAATATTATAACAAACTATCATATAGGAAAGAATATACTCGTTATAGTATATGTGAATAAATAATCCTTGCCAAGAGTTTTACTACTGACATTAGGAGCCTCCACGAGTATGAACGTGACTCTATTCACTAAGTCCTTAAGGTAGGAGACATCACTCCATAGCTTACAAATGTAACAGGTACAATGTGAAAACTACAGTAGTATGGAAATAGTGATGAAATACTGTAACTGAATTCTCTATGTATGACTGCAGAGTGATTTATGATGTACAGTTGCTAAAACAACTATCTGTGCAGGTGGGGGTCGATTTGCTCCGAAATTTACTAGTGACAGCCCTCATATACCAAAATTTATCGTCCATGGTCTCATATTCTTTCCCATAAAGTATGCACAGATACGTACGTAGTTGTTTTAGCTACTGTACTCCCATGAAAAAATCAAGGGAGAGGAGTTGAAAATAATACTGTATATGGAATAAAAGGGGGAAGAGAGATTTGTTACCTCCCAAAACTATGAATCGGCTGTAATCCAACATTACTGTACTGAAAAAGAATTCACTAGTATGACAAAGAAACTTTGTTTCAGTGAAACCTACGTAACAAAAACATAAAAGACTGAGAAAATGTGATAAAGGAAGTACAGTATATACCCGGATGATGAATTAAATACACTTATTAACTCAACATTATTTCATCTCTGTCACTGTAGTTTGTACTGATAGTTTAATGATTTACAGTACACAGCTACTCCTTGGCCCCCTTGATCCCCAGCACTTTAAAACCTCTTTTGTGTCTTCTATCTAAACATTCAGCAAAAAACTTTGTGTGTGCTACTGTCTACTCCTCTTTTACTTAACTACTTTGGTATACTGTACTGTACACTAAAATTAACTGACTATTATGAGTATGGTCTTAATAAGATAGAGGTGACCCAACAACAGCTCCACCATCTTATAACTCATGACCAAATAAAAATCTGATTACCAACATGCTGGACTCGCACTACCAATACGTATCTTACTATCGTATGTCTCTGTCTAACAATTTGACAGGCAACTTTATAACTGGAGAAATATACTTTACTTTACAAATGTACAATCACTCAATAATCTACCTTTATTTGGGGGGGGGGTCGATGAATTTCAGAATGAACACTGCGACTCCTGTTGTCTCGGTAGGGTTGTCAAAATCTTTCATCCGATACGATATATTTTCTCAACACAATTTTGTAAAGGTAGATTTTTTGAGTGACTACATCAGTGCATTTAAAATAATTTTTACTTGTGTTAAAGTTCACTTGACCATCTATAGTCTGTTCACTCAAAGCTTACAAATGAGGCCTCGGGTCAGTTTGTAGCAACGCTGATTGGTTGGCAGACTGACACACAAGGGGTCACTACAGTTCTTTAGTATTTAATCTATCGTATTTATATTAGGATATTTTAAAAATGATAACCTTTTTATGTTGATATCTGATAATATCCACACTTGGGGAAGCAAAATTAGCATGTGAAATGAAATAGTACTGTCATAAAAATATCACAAAGACAACTCGAACATGATGAACAAATTCAAGGATGTAAACTCCTCCTCACCGTGTGATATCAGTGTGGTGAAGGACGTCGCTGAAAATTTGTATTTTTGTTCTTGTTTTCATCAAGGTATTTATGTTACCAGTGTGTTTCACATTCTAAATTTTGCTTCCCCACTGCAGAAATTATCAGAGAACACAAAAGTTTTTATCCCTTAATACTGTACAAAAGAATAAAACCTGAAGAAATGAAGTGATTCTTTTGATATTCTTTTGCCAACCAATCAACTACAGTACCTTATTACAAACTGACCCTAGGTCTCAGTTGAAAGCTTTCAGTGAACAGATTATAGTCTTCTTGTTTAGCACGATGTAGCTTAGTACATTTGAACCAAGACTTTAAAAAAAATCAAATTTTCTACCCCTTTTGTAACATTAAAATTTTTCAATAAACTCTCACCTGAAGAATTTTTTTTATTAAATATTAAAAAAAAATGTAAAGGTATCTGAATATGCCTGTAGCAGCACAATACAATTAACTATCAATCGTATACACTAAGCGGTCTTAGTTACAATGGACACTAAAAAGAACAATATTTAGTTGATATATCAGATGATACAAGAATTATAAATTTTAATCAAGATTTACCATAAAGTCAAAACTGATCCACATACAATAAAAGTTGAGAGTTGATCTTGATTTGGAAATAATAAGTTTGCTCAAATATTTTGTTAGCTTGATAACTGGACCAAAAAATTAGGAAATTAGGTCATGTTGGCACTTACGTGTACCAGTAGTAGGGACATAATATCATGTTAGATAAGGTAAACACCAGTAATACCGTAAGATGAAAATCCAGTTATCTGACAACCATAGTACTGTAACAGCAATCATGGAGTGTTGACAATGGCTCTCACACTGTAGAGCACTGGTAACAGATCACAGATAAGTGCTAATGGCAATGAGGAGTATCCTGACACGGCCCCTGGAGACCATCTGGGAAGGAGGGGAGGCACGACCAGAAGCATACTACAGTATACAGTATCTAGAATATAATGTCAATGATAAAAAAAGTTATCACATTAAGCAATTCATATTTTGTTGTATAGATGGGGGAAATTAATAACTAATGGACAATGTATGGTGACCTTTAACAATTACCAGTAGTAAGAATGATTATAAACAGCATGTAAAGTGCTGTAATTATATTACCAAAAAAATAATTCACTTCCTTCTGACAGACTCTCATTGTCAGAATTCAAAATTTCTAAACTTACCTCCTCAGAAATGGAAATATTTTCCCATCATTGTATCTTGTTTATATCCTGTACATAAGTCACAATGCCTTTGAAAAGCAACATTTTTACATCAAATATTCTTACATTTAGGTACTGTACATTGTTGTTGTTTTTACTTAGATTTCAACACAAGTGCTTTGCAGTAATGTTTTTATCACTTGTTTTGAACAGGACTTTCTTTTAAACTTTTAAATCACTGTAACTGCTGTGTACTGTACCTCCAATTTCCTCTTCAGGTCACTTCTTTAATTCTTGTTCGAAACCACTGTAGTCTTTTCAAAGTGGAGTTTGTCACACTCAGCATTATCGTATTATAAAGGACTGGTTTAAAACATCTTCTTTTTAACTGCTGTGTACCTCTCCATATACTGAAATGAAAAAGAAGTGGATTACAGAAGCTAGAAGGAATGAGTGACAGAGACTGATGGAGTCTGTTGCTCTTGTTGCCAACCACTCTGTAGGAGAGGATTTACAGGAGTGAAAAACTGATCTCTGTTAATACTTGTACTTCCCCCACTTGACTTGAATGAGTCTACCAGATTATTTTACAATCATATCAAAACTTGAATGTTATTTTCTATGACCATAATTGACAACTCCTTGCCTCATTCATTCACTCACTCACATATAAATGCTGTACGGCATCCTCGACTCTGTAATACTGTATTATACATAATCTGATGTTTAACTATTCTGTACTGTACGTGTAACCCCTGCAATATACAAACTACCTGTACTGTGCTTTTATGAATTCCCTATTTTTTGCTAAATTAACTTTGAATTTGAATTTGTATTCCTAACCTAATCTAATATTTTTTGTTTCTGAAAATACACAAGTTTTTGTGTCAATTTTGTTTGCTGGAGTATAATGAACTCTCTAGTAGTTTATGATGTAGATTTCTACCCTCCCCTTACCGGTATATTTTTCTGAGCTCCCAATTTCTGTTTACAGTATTTAGCTTCAGCTGCAACACTCTATCAATTATTAATTTCAGGGAGGTGTGTTGACGAGGCAAGGGGTGAAGTGACGAAGCAGGTGAGGTGATGAGGCATTTACACAGCACACACATTAACAGCACAACCATTTTAATTTCAAATTTCTATTTTAAAATAAATGATACGTGATGGCTTGATTTGGCTACTTTTGCACTTAACCAACTGGTCAGTGAATAACCAGAGCATATGGAAAGGCATTATATACACTACAATAATATTTATTAAGTTCTAATAAATATGCTATTATATTATTTACCAAGTGCTCAAGACAGAACCTGTGGTAAGCACCAACCCACTTGAGCAGTGACTACAAGGATGCTTGAGAGATGGTGAGTACTGGCAACATGTTAGGGAGAGCAAGAATGATCAGCTGGTACAGCTCTGGGAATATACTGTGGTACAATAGCTCATCTGGGATTTTTTGGGGGGAATTAATTATTTTTTTATAATGTTTTATTAACCCAGCACCAACTGACCCTAAATAATATGGAAATTATAGTGAACTTGCATGCTGTCATTATAAAGTGATCGGGGCTGACAAGTGCGGGAGATGAGTTGTCCTCTCAGTCAAACCAACACTCCTTCCCTCCTCCTCCTCCATCCGCCATCTCCTCTCCTTGACTATGCACCCAAATGTAGTTTTTGAAAAAACATACGAATTAAGCCAAAATCTGAATTACAGCAATCCAAATTAATGAGGGTACAGTGTAAAGCAACTACATGATGCTGAACCAGCCCTGCCTGGCAAAAAAATTGAATATCACTATCTTGAATGTCGAAAGCATTAACAATTCAGCTATGAACCCCTTATATTACAGCCAATTTTAACTAGTTTAACCTGGCTGTGTAAAATTGCCCTTTACTATTAACTTTAATACTTTTCCTAACAATTCCACAAGTCATGATATCTTAAAAGAATGTTTACCTTGGAGTATCCTTCAATTTCTTCAAATTCTTTCATCTTGAATAAGTTGCCATCCACACACACGAGTGATACTTGAGAATCTACCAGTAGTTCTTGAGGTATACTGGATATTGCAAGGCAATTCTCCTCCAAACGTAGAGTTTTTAGTCGGGGACATGAGGCTACAGTAGGAGATATTGCAGATATCTGAAAAGTTTTTCATCAATTAATACTGTATAGTGTATACAGTGACTGGAGATCAAGCAACTACCTGTAATCAAATGGACCCTAGTCTTTGTAGGCCCCAACCTAACCTATTAAAATTAGGCCCCAGTCATTTAAAGCCCCAATGCTAATGGGTCCCAATCCTAGTGATCAGGTTTGACTGGCTACCTGACCTGCAAGTAGGAGATTAAGGCACAGAAAGACACACAATACACAGTTACAATCCTTCACTACACTAACCTCTATGTTATGGAAGACTCTTAATACAATATCAAAATCTTCATCACAAAACTTCACACAACAAATGATACCAACCTGATTCATATTCAGGTTTAGTTCCACAGCTTGTAGTTCCTCTATACCATCAGGCACAGCAGTAATATGGTTACCACTCAAATCTAACACATCCAATTGGGGGAGTCCACACAATACTACTGGAAATTCGGTCAGCTTGTTGTCACTTCAAATATTGAAAGAGAAAAAGCACTGAATTATACTTTGGAAATTCCAATCAAAATTGACTATACGTATTCTTTTATGTATTAAAAAATATATTAACCTCCTCAGTGCAATTTCTCCCAACCTGTTAGATGGAAACTCCCAATTTTGTGAGGAGTTCAGTGCAACCAAACTTGTGAGGACCAGTACACATAACTGATGTGTTCTCGTCAGTTTATCACACATTTTTTAGGGTTTTAAAGCTGGAACTAACTAATATACTGTATTATTTTATGTCATGGGAATGATTAAAATATTGTATATATTTTGAGAAATCAGTAAATTAAAGACCTTTAGCTACAGTACTGTGTTTTGTTTTACAATCAAAACGTCAGATATAACACACATCAATAACTAGAACTTAAATTTATACAATGATATTCAATATCACCTGAGTATAACAGATTTTAGATGCTTTAGATCAGACATTGATGCTGGCAGGGTAACAATGAGGTTTGACACCAATGAGATGGACTCCAACTTTGTCAGTCTTCCTGTCTCATCTGGCAGACTACCTGAGACAGACACAAAATAGCATATAATAATAATGACATGGAAAATAATTTACATGCAATTCGGTGATATTAATTTATTCAGGTTAAATTCTGTTTTTATAGGCCTTATGAAAAGGGATAAACATTTATTGTATCGTGTATTATACTGTAATTCACTGGCAGATTATTGTAATTTATATTACTGAAGAATCATCTAAAAGAAAACAATTCATAAAACCTTATCCACATGGATTTGGTATACAGTACTGCACCAATATATATCATACAAAGAATGAAAAGTACTTGGAAGGTAAATTGGCTCCATTTTCTTACAGTACTAGACATTATAGACTTAACAAAATCATACAGATGCCCCATAAGGCTCAATACATAAATAATTAAGGGGAAAATCAGATTAAAGTTTGCTTGATACATTCTGTAATACAATATTTATTGATTACTCAAACTACAAAACACAATCATCTCATAAAATATTTCTTCCTTAGCAATCTGGAGGATTTTTTTTTCTTCAAAATTTATCATAAGAGGTGATTTTGGGCAAAATGCTGACATGTATGATAATGACCCATACAGTATTCACAAATAAAATAAATGTGAATACAGTGTGTATCTGTGATGCAACCTTTCACTCCATCAACCCACATACAGTAATCCTGTGTTTTTCGCGGGAATTACGTTCCTGAAACCCCCGCGAAAAGCCAAAACCGCGAATATTGTACTCATTTAGGAATCACTGTACCTGTGGCCACCAAACAGCTCTCCACTAACGGCCCAGTGGTCACACTGATGCACTGTACCGGCATTTACTAACATCATTATTTGAAACTAATCATATTGTAGTATAATAATGGAAAAATGTAGACACAGTTATATACAATTTTTATTTATTTACAAGTACAGGAAATAAATTTTTTTTTTATTTCGCTGAGGTCGGCAACACACGCATTGCCAACCTCTCCCTGCTGTCCCGGTGTCTGTCCGCAGTCACGCCAGCCAGCCAGTCCTCTTCCACCCACATTCCTCCACTTGAAGACTTGTATTCTGACAAAAGACACAAATGAATTGTCAGTCTTCACCACATCTTGAGCCATAGCTCATACCACCTCTGAGCTTGTCCAATAAAACTGTTTTTTCCATTAAGGTCATCACTATTCTTGATCTCTTGGTCACTTTAGAGTCTTTGCTAGTAATATTTGCCTTTGATGAGGCTGGCTTACGTCCCGGAGCCATATGGACTGCACGTGGGAGGACAAACAGAAGAGGTAATCATAGTACGGTAGGCACGTGTGGACTGGGGCTTCTCGGAGCAGCGGGTGTCTGAGGCGGGAAAGGGTGGCGTCTGTTTGCCGCATCGCACAGGGGAATATCGAAAATGGCGCAAATTAAAATATTTGTTTTTAAAGGATATTTTATATACAGTACAGTATATATAATTTTTTAGTAAAAAAAAAATGCCAAAAAACACGGGATTACTGTACTATACATGATATTGAAGTCTTTGACCCCCCATTTTTCTCCTTCACACTCAAGTAGTTAGTGGCCCCCTGAATGTAAACTCCATTGTGTGAATAAAAATAAAAAAAGACATTAGAAAAAAGTCCTTCTTTGACTTACTTATTTTGTTTCCATTTAGATTTAGGTGTTTGAGGTTAGACAGATCACATACAGATGATGGTAATCCCGTCAACTTGTTCATAGAGAGGTCCAGAGTGCGAACAACCTTACTTATGGTGGACAAGTCTGGCATCTGTAAAAAAAAAAAAATATATATATATATATATATATATATATATATATATATATATATATATATATATACAGTATATATATATATATTATGCAAAGAACTTTTCTGAATAAACATTATTAAAATTAGGAATTTTGGTAAGGATGTTGAATACCATAAAAACCATCACATTCCTAGGAGTTTGCTGGCAGGACCTTTCATATTGATACATACAATATAAATTTGGTGAAGGAGCAAGTAAAAAACAAGTGTGACTCACAAAAATAAGGATTTAAATCTCACTGGGATGGGGTGTATTTCCTCATTTTAATAACAGGCCGTAAACTTAATTGGATGAATCACTTTACAGTATAAACAACACCCTATCTAACCCAACAATTTTGGTTACATTATAGTTTGATGTGGTTCAGTTGATTAAATTCTACCTTCATAAGGTCATAACTATTAATTCTTTTTTCCCTCACACGATTTGCATTCTACATATTATACAGTACAGTACTGTACCTGTACTATGATTGTTCTGGCGTGGAAAAAAGACCCACCTGTCTCAAAATAATATAAGTGTTAACCACATTTTTAAACTTATAATTGCTTACAGGATTACAGTACTAAGGGTAATATTTTGTTATTCATATGCATTAGGTGCACATGAATAGTAGAATACCCTGTATTACCCTCAGTATTTGAGATATTTTTGAAAAGGGGAAAAGTGACACCTCACCCTGAGATTAGCCAAAGCTTTATGGAAACAATAATTACAATCTATTAAATATATACAGTAAATGGAAACGAGAATCCATTCAGTGTCATTAGGTATGATTTAAAAGGTTTTTCCGGGAGGTTAGGTTGGTTACTTAACTACTTTAAGTTAAGTCACATTCTAATCAGTTCTGTGCTTTCTCGTTAACATGTATCTATTAAATAGATTGTAATTTACGTTTTCACAAATTTTCATCCAATTCTATCGACTTTCTGGTGTTAGTCTGAAAACCTACCTAACCAACAACCATATCCAGAGAATATTATTACTTCTGTCATCCCAAGATATTGGGATAATTTCCAGTCTATCATTATTTTTTTACATGACTCCTGTTCAGTTGATAACATTAAGCTATATCTCAAGGCTCTCTACCTCACACTTAAGAAAGTACTGTCATTAGCATACATTCATCTAAAGGTTATGACCCATTTAACTAACATAATTAAAAATAATATCACTTTACCTCTGTCAGTTTTCGATTAGATAAAACCAATATGCCAGTCTTCTGAGCTGTTTCCATGTGCGCCTTAACCCCACTTGATGAAGTTTGACCCATTTTGACCTTAACAGGAATACCTCCACTATTGACTGAGGCCACAACTCCACTCCACCCAGACCCAGTCCTCCTGAAGAGCGAAAACAATTTAAATTATCAGAAAATATTACAGGTTTCTTCAATACAGTTTTCCATGTTTCAAAAAAGTATTTCTCACTTAATTGTACAGTTTAAAGTCTTGTAATGAAGCGTTTATCTTATTATTTTTTTATAGGGCGATAAAAAAAACTTGGAACACAAAGATGAACTTAAGATTTTCAGTTTAATATTTGATTTATATTTATACTTCCACAATGATAAATTTGACACGAAGCTCTCAAATTACACACACAAGAACAGAATGTATCTCCAGAATGTGAATATTGGGATTAATAAAAGTTCTTTCTTGTGTTTTATGTCATTTTTGTATTTCAGGAGCTACTGGCATCATCAACACCAGAATATAAACATATACAGTCGCCAGTACAAACTATTTACTGACTAATAACTTTATTCTCACAATTAGGATGTTTGTGTTTAATGAATAATATGTGTAGGGATGGATAATATTTTTGTGTTTATACCCCAAAGTTTTTGTTATAAATCGACCTAAAACGAATCTTTACCGTTTTCAGTACCAATCTTAGTACAACACCAGTAATTTATTCGTTTTAAAATATAATCTGAACTTTGGTATGGAAGCTGTGGTTTTTGTGGTTAATTTCAGTTTCACCGTGTGTTATATAGGTTGGGGAATATTTTAATACATTTGACAGGTTGAACATGCCACAGTCTTCCCCCAGTTGGATCAGCGCCATCTATAACTAGTGCGACATATACTCTAAGGCATTGACGCTCATCTGTGGGAGTTAATAGTTCCTTTAATAGTTCCTTTATATTACTTTGTGTGGAGTTTGGACACGACTGGACTAAATGGCTCACAGGAGTAACAGCTGATCCCGACTCCAGTGTCTTTGTTTATATAATGGAGAGTGTTTACCATTATGGGAAATTTGACAGTTTACCTGATGAATTATTGCTCAAAATACTATGCTGTGATTGTATTACCATATGTGACTTGGGTAGAGCAGCTGCAACTTGCACAAGATTGAAGAATATTGTTGATACACAAGACCTGTGGCGTCAGAAACTTAAGTATCAGTATGTGTCTACCTATCATTCCTGTGACTATGAATTAGCTTCTTTGATTACAGAAACAAAAATTACAGCAGTATTAATGGGTGTATTATAGGTCAATTTATAGTAAAGGAGATAATTAGAATCTCTAGAATTATATCTATGCAATCAATAGTTTAGACAATTCAAAGGGGGTTCCAGGGGGCGAGCCCCTTAGGAGGTTAGGTTAGGTTATTTGGGAGGGACATGTCATAGAAAAATCGTGCCTTAAGGTTAATATTCATGAGATACCCGTCACAGCCTAATTTGTTTTGATGGACCTTTTCATACTATATTTTCATTGCTGAGTTTGGGTATGATATTCATTTCTTGGGCAAATGCTTCACGTGCTAAATATCTAGGTCCCTAAGCTCGCATTTGCAGCACTACTTCATCTTTTGTGGCGATAAATCAATAAGGCTCGAATTTGTCCTCGGCTCAGTGTATGTTTATGAGTTGCACAGTCCAGACGGCTTTTCGAGTAAAATAAAATATATACGTATATAAATAACATTACACCGTATCATAGGAAGTTATTTCTGTTTAATATGCTTGGGGGTGGAGCCCCATGGCTAGGAAGTTACAGTAGGTAAGGTTAGGCAGGTAGGTTTCTTTGATTAACTTGGTACAGTCTTCTAACGACGCTTCGCTTACAACCATCAGCGGTTTGGTAATTAAGAGGGGTGTTTTTAGACACAGTTTTGTATGCTGACTACTTTCACTTCTATTAATTTTCTTGGGCAAATGCTTAGTTTTCTAGATTCAGATAGCATTATTTCATTCACATTGTCAGCTGTGATATGGCAGCTGTAAACAACATACCGTGAGGGCTAATATACAAAACATGGCCATCAGCGGTTCGATAATCATGAGGGTATTTTTAGACACAGTTTTGTGCACTTATTACTTTCATTTCTATTCATTTTCTTGGGCAGGTTCTTAATTTTCTAGATATTTGCTAGTTAAGTTAGAGATTAGGTCTGGTTTGGTTAGGTTAGCACATGATTTTATCCATTTTTATATTTGTTCCCAACTTAATGCAATATCCTCCAATAAAATTAGTGAAAACTAGGTATTTTTAAACCTATATTTAGAGAAAAACAGCAGATGGTCATGCAGCGAATTTTAGGATTTTATGTTTAGGTTAGATTGGGTTGGGTTATGTTAGGTGTTTTGAACGATTCTGACCTACTTCTAAAATAGCTGCATAACCGAAATGATTTTTTATCAAGTTGTCGGCTCTTTAAAATACAGTATACTTACTATAATAATAAGAACATCTGTGGCAAACATTAACAGAATTGAACAACTTCGGGTGGTAGTACTGTTTTCAGAAGTTACCATGAGAAGTAATAAAAATTTTAAAACAATGCACAGAAACCTACGAGAATGTGACCTAACCAAAGAAGCCTTATGTTCTTAAGAAACCTACCTAACCTTACCTGACTTCCTAACCAGGGGCACTGCCCCCTGGCATATTAAACAGAAAAAACTCACTTTGATATCTGGTACCAATGAAAGCAACTTTCTTTAAGTGGCATGGTGTAATTTTACATATTTTGTGGACACAAGAGTACTCTCTGAGTGAGCGGCTTGGTTGTTCCACTGGAGCAAACAATGAGCAGACAACAACACTCGCTGACATGGTAGATATTTCGGTGGAATATTTATGGTAAAGAATTAATTTTGTCATGTACAAAGCACATACACGTCATTATGTGTCATGTGATCAGTTTTCACTGTGTTTTACCTCACAATTTCGTTCTTCATAGCCTGCCCACTACAACTTCTGGCATTAGCTGTCTGCTGCACTATAACCAGATATATTTCCTGAGATTCTAATTGTGTCCTCTACTATGAATTGACTCAACTGTATTATAATGGATATTAAACCCTTTATAAACTGTTCAGTCCATTGCTGTATAATTTCAGAGTACAGTCCTATCATTTGGTTACAGATTTGACAATGCATGTTGTACTTGATAAATGGTCACTGAACGTCTACAGTCATGATATTTTAGTGGTAAAATTATACAGTTTCAGAAAATTCGTGTTCATTAAAAGTGACATTAACTGGCACTCACTAAAACTTAAAAAAATATAAATCAAAATGTCTTACCTTTTATTTGCACAGGTAAACTATTTATTTCTGACTGATATTGTTGGTTGGTTTACGATTGGTTAGGTATTATAGTTTGATTCATTTCATGACCAATAAATTATTGACAATCTCCTGAAAACTCCTGTCAACTGCTAACATTCCTGAAGTATCAGATACAACTACATTCTATAATTTATAGTTCATGAGATGAATGAAACTGTATACAGTACGTAATTGAATGTTAAAAGATACTGTATTTATATTTAGATTTGTACAGTACGTATACTTTTATGATCATATAATTAAATTTTAAACTGGGTCTTTACAGCTGGCCTAAGGTATGGGATGAACTTCCAAACAAAAATGAGGTCACTGATTGGCGTGAAGAAGTGCACCAGTTGTTGTGCTTTTTTCAAGAGACACACAAATTAGTCTCAAATCTTAGTCCACGCCTGTACCAAGACTTGCGCCTCACAGCAAATTTACACCTCACAACACCTGTGTACAATGAGATAGATGCACTTATCTCATCTACATACTATGCCCCCTTTTATGTTCTCTGTGCATTAAGAACAATTGTGGAAGATGGAGCTGAGTGAGTATTATTTTCTAATTTTGTTCATACATATCTTCTTTGATAGGCCCATTCCATTACATTTATCTTGATCTTTTTATTGAAGATACAGTTTACTGTACCACTAACTTGTACTACACTTACCCGGTATATGAGAAATAAAACATCTGATCAATTAGTCCCCAAATTTAGATACACGTTTCTTTCTTGACCTTTTATGTATGTCACCTATTTCAAATTCTATCACGTTTGTTATGATGATAATCTTTATGGTGTCCCTCCATTTAGAATTATTGTTTTTCCTACAAAATGTCATAGTATAATACAGTACATGTACTCTATATGGTGTGGATTTGAATATCTTTATTGTAAACTACCAGTAGTTTGATGAGTACTAGTTGAGAATCCCTTATCTGAAATCCACGGGGCTGAATATGTCATGGATTTTGGAATTTTTTGGTGTTTGGAATTTGGGCATATTGGGCCTGTACCCCTGGTTAGTGGTAGGTTACCCAGAGAGGTCCAAGCTGAAGTCTATCAAATGTATTTTTCTTTTTGAATCATTTTAAGTGCATATTGAGACATAAAGCCTATGACTAAATTTCAAACCCAGTAAAATTATATCTCACTACAATAACAATCTGTGTTCAGTACAACAACACACAATGTTCACCACTACTCCAAAAAGGTTCATGTTCACTACTACAACACACCATGGTGTGAACATGGTCCATGTGTTGTTGTAATGAGATATAATTTTACTAGGTTGTTATTTTATTTTTTTATTTTTTTTACACAGGGATTAGCCCACCCGGGCACAGGTCACTGTCCCACATCGGGGCCCGGAGGGCGAAAATGTAATACAGTAATAATAATAATAATAATAATAATAATAATAATAATAATAATAATAATAATAATAATAATAATAATTACAAAGAATTACAAGAATGAAAAAAATCAATAGTGAGAAAAGCTATATGTATGCTGTGTTGTCATGTAAGAGAAACAATTGAGACCCTACAATTGTGTGTAAATGAGGCAGAAAGACAGATCAGCAACCTGGGACTTGGTTACAATTTTCGTGATGCCATATGGCAGCAGGGTCTACCATTAGACAACACATTATGCTTCCAATATCTTCCCAGGCAGCAGTACCTCCCTGTTTCGTAGCTGCCTCCTACCTACTACAGTGCTGTACTTTTAGGATGTTTGTCTCAATGTACAGTTAAAATGCTTTAAAAAGAAAAATACTTTTGATAGATTTCAGCTTGAACCCCTCTGGGTGAGTGGCAGGTCACCCAGAGTGGTACAGGCCCAATATGCCAAAATTCCTGAAACCGAAAAATTCCGTAATTTGAAAAGTTTAATGAAAAGTAATGCAGTAATTAGTACAGTATTAATAGCCGAATTAGCTTTCACTGATGAGACTAGTTATCAATTCCTATATTGTGAAAGGCACCCTCGAGAACCAACAGAACTTGTGCTATGGGAACAACAGCAACAACAGCCTGTGCAGCCAAGACCTAATTGGCAGCGTGTGTTGCCAGCACCTGGCTCATCACGCCACATCATAAGGCGGGTTGTTTGTGATGCTGTACTGTAGTGTCTTGTAAAAGCTTATGATTCCTCTCCCAGGGTGTAGCCACTGGTGAATCGTGTTTGACATATTTTGGATCTTTAGTTTTTATGGGTAATAGATAAAGTTTAAAAACAATTGATTTAGCATCTATTACTATATACTATTCTCTTTTGATTCATATTATGTGTGATTTCCAATTACTAAGGCTTCACAAATAACTAATCCAACCTGTCCCCCATGTAGCATTAGGGTGTCCAATCATCAAGTGAAATAAGCTAGAAGGGCTTAGCTTTCTGTGAGCCATAGTTTTGAAACTACAGTATCACTAATAAAAGAAAATTCTCTTGGCAGGCTGCCCTCAGTCCCTCATACACACTCCAATGGGTTGCAAGATCTCTGACAAACAAATTAATGGTGGCTACACCTCTGTTTCCACTAATACGGCCATACATATACCTTACAGTATATATGTGTAGTTTAAAACTAACCTGGGAAGAGGTAACAGAGTCCATTAATGTGACTGTTTCATGTGAAGGTGTGGAATGATATATTACCCGGTCCTCTCAGCCCTCTGAGGAAAGTGTACACGCTATTCCTTGAAATCATCTCTCAAAAGACATCTACCCATAATGTCAAAATACTTTAGTGTTTGTCATATTAACCTAACTGTTATGTAGCTATTTTCATTTTTCTTTGTCATATACACCATTATGATATACGAGTATACAGTACTTTCCTGTATTGATGTTTGTAACAATTACTCCTTCCAATTAATATCTATTTTACCATTCTGATGTACAAGCATTCCCTGAAAACTGAAGTCACATTAACTGCTGATTCACATAACCGCCAATTACATATTGGGGAAATGTCCTGCAAGTTTTGTTGATACCCTTATGTTGTTTAATGATCTTCATATCATAACTACCTATCAAGTGCCTTTCAAGAGCTGCACCTCTCAAAAGTTTCAACTCTGTCAGTGTTGTAAAATTTTGTTTATGTACTTTGTTTCCCTTTCAGTATCAGTCCTCCCTTCTGCTTATTTCTGAAATCAATATTTTCAATCTATTGACTACTTTTCATCACCAAGATCCCAAACAAAGCTTTATGCCAACAGATTCCTCTTCTAGTTATGAAGAAATGTTCCCCAAGATAAGCCAAGGTAAAACTTCTCCCATGCAAGGAAATGCATCAATATACACTTGTAAAGTATATTAACAGTGAGAGAGGTCCATATCCATAACTTATAGCTACTAAGAAGAAATGGCTCCATAATTGAGGGTTATCTCCTTTTCCTAAAACATTTTCTCTCGACAGATATGAAAACATGACAGAGAAGTACTATGCACTGAAGGTAATGAGCCATGTTAACCAAAGTATTTGTAAGCAAGAGTGGGAAGAGTTCATGTCATGTCCACCATCTCACCAGTCATTAGAGATGGGTGCGATGCTGATGGCCAGATGGTTCCAGCCACACATATCAGATGTTAGCATCAAGCAGGTATGTTATTGGAAGTACGGTAATTACAATTTGGTTTTGAATTTAAATTTCAAAAACTTATTCTATAGATACTATGCAATAATGCTTTCATTTTAAACAAACATATCTGATTAAGAAGAGTTTTTAACTTTCCACTCTTGCTTTGTATTTCTACTTCTGATTGGTTACACAAGAATAGCAAAGATGAAAAAGAAATTGAAGAATGAAAATAGAGAATAGATGTTTTGGTTAAAGCATAAGTGAAGGTGAAGATAAAGATACTGTACAATATATTGCCACCGTGTGTTTGACATAGTGACTGGCTGGAGCAGATAAACGGTATGCTCTTACTGCCACCTCACTGACCATTATACTGCACTGTTTTTTGTTCAGGATTTTGACAAGTAATTTTTAACATTTGTCTCCCATTACCCCATTCTTGATCAAATAACATTGGTTTCCAATTAAAGCTAGGATAGTGTTCAAACTGCCTAATGACTTATAAGACAATAATGTTTCGTGAGCCTAAGTATTTGGCCAACCTACTAATTCCACTGACTACACATTCTGAAATGATTTTGCATAGTACCTGTAGTTATAATCCTTGATGTCTTGAGGAATGTTCTTTTGCTGCATCCAAGAAGCATGTGACTTCTGTGGAGGCCTTTAACAAACAACTTAAGACCCCCCCCCCCTTTTTTTGTAAGCTTATGATCCTGAACGGGGTACATTGATGGAGAATTATGGGGTTTAGGAAGTAGTTAAATTAACAGTAGGCAGACTAAAAAAGGTATTACTGTTTGTGGGAAAGTTAGACTTGACTGAGAGAGATGTTGTTATGTGGTGGATGTAAAAGATGGGAAGAAGTAAAGAGATAGGAATGACTGCAGGAAATTGAAAGAAGTCTTGAAAATAAAGATAGAAAGAGTGAAGCACAAACTCTTAACCTTCTCAGCCTCGGAGCCTGAGACACATACGTGCATCAAAACTTAGGCTCAGCTTTGGAGGCTGTTGCCGAAATTGTTTTGAAATTTGTATTTTATTTTATTTTTTGGGGTCTCTTCTAGCATAAAATTGTCTGAAAAATTGTATGAAGTCATAACAAATTTAAAATTCTTGAAATTTAAGCCACCTTTCTTGAGTACAGTATAAGTTGAAAAAGTAGGAAAATGTTTAGTAACATCTCGATTTTCCATTCACATTTTCCTTGTATTATGGTGTTCATTGATATATACTACCGGTATATACCAAAGTAAAGAACAAAGCATGTCAAATATCGTGGTATAAGAAAAAATAATACTGTATAACAAAAACTCATGAAATAATTAAAGGACCGAGCGGCACACCCTCCTCTCGCTCTAATGGCCAGAGCGACACTGGCTTCATGCTGTGCTGCCATGCACACAATGACCAAGGCCGTCTTGGGGAAGGTAATAAGGCCCACACAAAGAAAATGACGTCTGTCAAATGGCATCCAAAGTTCAGTCAGTTTTACTGAATAGTTTTTGAGTTATTTGAAAATATAGCCCATTGGACACCATGTTAGCGTTGTGAGGCTGAGCATAAGTTTTTTCGCCTTTTTTGTTCGATGCCACAATGGCGTCGTGTGAGGCTGAGAGGGTTAAGGATATAATTAATGTGATGAAAAAAATGATATGGGAAAGAACCTTACACAGCCATATGGATATCACAGTTTATTTTTGTCATAAACTTTTCTTTAACTTATTATATTTGACATTAACTATGGATTAATTAATTTATTACAGGATCAAAAGTGTCTTGCACCGGTTCATATTTGATTAAGTTTACTGTAAATGATAATCAGTATCAAGTAAAGGTTGTGATTATTTATATTTTAGTTAAATTTGTTTATTTTTTATGAGTTAACCATTACAGATGACAAATAAGATTGATAGTATGGCCAAGGCATGTCTCAACATGCTACTTAGTGCTCATCCAGACCACCCAGCACTCACTACACCAATGATTCATCGTGATCAACCTCTGGAAGAATCAAAATGGTCAACTGAAAGGTGCAGGCAGCTTTTCAATTGCATTATCCATGTTTTGTTTGTACAGGTAAGCATTTATAAGTGTTTAGATACCATAATGATACATATATTGATATACTGTACTGTACTGTCTGCTCCATCTGTCAGTGAAACAACATACACACACACTGTTACTATCTATATACAGCGGTTCCTCGGTTAACAAACGGTTCGATTAACGAAATTTCGGTTAACGAATTACCTCCCATCAGGATCTTCAATTCGGTTGACGAACAAAACTTCGATTAACGAAATCCTTACGACTAACACGTTTTGTTGTGAGCATCAGCTGATGAGCTAGTCTGCCAATTCAGTAATCTGTTCTATGTTTACATTCATTTCCAGTGGAGTAAATATCAAGAAAGTTTTGCTCTTTAATATTTTTGCATTTTTTATATTAATATTATTAGTCATTTTAAAATTTAGTTAACATATTGATAATATATGCAGTACAGGGAACTAGTTTTTGTGCGCCCATCAGCCGCTTGACTCACCCACCAGGCGTCAGTTTGGCTTTGCTTACAGTGGAGTGAACATCGATTTTGTTGATGTCTTGAATATTTTTGCATTTTTACATCAAGATTATTGGTCATTCTGAAATTTAGTTTACATATTGATAATATAAAGCACAGTGCAGTGTTGATTTAAATATAATAATCTTGAATTACACCTAGTGACCTTAAAATTTTATTGGTGAAATTACTGCATCAAGCATGGGTCCCCTGAAAGGTGATTTCTCCTCCATCCCCACTTTCTTCTCTTCTCCCTTCTCCCCCACTTCTAATTCCCATCATCAACCAGGAACCTTCTACATACACACCTCAAAGTAAGTGTACTTTACTGCATTTTTTTTTACTTTGTATGTACTTTACTGTGAGCTGGAACCAAATAACCAATATCCCATTGAAACAATGAATTCGGTTAACAAAATTTTCGATTAACGAACGACTCTGTGGAACGAATTGTGTTCGTTAGCTGAGGGACCACTGTACAGTACTGAAGTTAAAGAAATAATTTCTAGTCATATGACTTTAATTATTGCATTCCTGCTCCTTGCATTCCTGCTGAAAGAGAATTCATGACCCAACTACCTTCCAATATTCCTATCTAGCCATATATCTTCAAGCTAAATGTGAAAGCTGAGTTAGTATATTTACTTCTCAGGATTCAGGGAAGTAAAGGAAGCATATAAGACCCAAGGCCAGGTATGATCTTGGGGGCCCCATCCCACAAAAAAAATCCACACACACACGCACGCACATACATACGCACATGCACACCCGCACACATACACACACATACAAAAGGAAAACAAATTAGTTCTCATAATTTTTTTTCCCTGCTATTTATGATTACTTCAGCCGTTTACAGAAATTTTTTAAGTTGGCTGAAAGTACAGTACAGTACTCTATGTACTTTAACGTTTCATTCACGAGGAAAATTTTTAAAATCCAATGCTTAGATTTTACCATTTGTATCTTATTCATTATAGTACTACAGTACATCCACTTAATGTTGGTTATGAAACAGATGGATACCGGGTAAATAAAATTAAATATATTTGGCGTTTCAACCACATTTCTAAAATTTAAAATTTTTATTTCCTGGCCTTCTTTGTTGCACAGTTGTCAGTGATGTCATCATATTACACTTGATGCCTTACAGCATTATTTATGCTGATGACAAGCCCAGTGAGCCTATCCTGAGCCATCATAGACCTTAAGTAAGTTTTGATAAGTTTAAGTTCAGAGAAGCTTCTCACTGCTGGACCACAGTCACAGGGAGTGACTGTTATGCTCAGGACTATCCACATATTTGGATAAACCTCTGTAATCTGATTTTCATGCATATATTTTAGAAGCTCCAATGCTGTCCTGTTCACAGATGGTAAGTCTGGTAGACATCTCATCTCCCTGACCAGTTCCTTTCCATCAATGATCTGACTCCAGCATACTGTAGCTCAGGGTGTCACTCAACTCTTGACATTGTTGTGAGTGCATCAATGGTTATTTCTTTGAAGTGGAAGTGAACTCCAAATTTGTCTCTACAGTAAAACCCCCATAATTCATACTCCTCTATTTCACAGTCACATGGTTGTCTGCTCTTTCAAGCTTTTCCTTGTCATAATTAATGGAGACTAGAATCAAGAGCAAACACAGACTCCTTTCCTTTCTTTGTTATTCATTCACTCTTACTGCTGTAATGGATGTGCTCTGTTCTGAGATTATCTATCCAAAAGGTAACTTTGAATATCTATCTCATATATCCATGCTGCTACTTAACACAACCTACCATACTCTTCAGTTGCTCATGGACACTTTTGCCTACTTGATATCCATCCCCTCACTGCAAGTGCATCATTTCTAATCTTCCATCTTCTTGTCTTCCCCCTCTCATGGAAACCATATACCTTTGACATAATATATTTTACCAGTCTATCACTTTCAGTTCTCTCAGCTTATACAGTAATATGTTTCTTCTTCGTGTATCCAGAGTCCATGCTACCTATGATTTATGATAATATCATAAGCTCAGTGATTCCCTCTACATCCTCATCTATGACTCCAATGACACAGTTCTCTCTCCATACGTTTCTGAGGGCATCTATACCTTTCTTTCCTTTTCTTACTCAGTGATTCAACCGAAGTCTCCTTGGTCTGTTTGTTGACAAATCCATGTAACATGAAAATATAGTTAGTGAGTGACAGCTAGTGATAAGTACACCTTGTATTTTTATTACATTAATTGTTCAGGATTACACAGTATTCTTGGGTGAGGAGCCCATGACATAATGATTGGTGGTTTTGACTGTGCTTTTGGTTGCCACTATTTCTTTTACACTTTATATTTCATTTAATAGATGAGTGAAATTTAATTTTTTCTCATAAATGCTTAATTGCTTTTTTTTTTTAATGTATTTCTTGGTACCTTCTAGATGAGAATGACTGGAAGCAATGAAGATTATTACCAACTCAAAAACTCTCTCTTAAATGAAGTACTTAAATCAAAGAAAGGAATTCCCATCATTCTAAGTATAGTCTACAAGGCTGTGTGTCACCGACTAGGCTTGCTGTTGGAACCTGTTAACTATCCCTGCTACTTTGTCTTGAGGTGGAAGATACCAGGGTACGTTGTTGGAGTGGAAGTATGCAGTAGTTTTTTTAAATATTATTAAAATGTTTTGTAATTTTATTAGCTGCTGCAATAGGCTTCAAACCCTTAGTGTTGTGCATGTTGCTTTCCAGTGCTGCTGGTTTATTGCTGATTTTCAAATTAATATATGTACAGTAGCTGTTTATTAGCTACTTTATAAGTTTGCAAACCATAATGTGGTTTGTACAGTCTCATTCAAAAGTAATCATCCACCACCACCAATCCCTGTGCCTGGTCAGGTCCTTTCTGTGTGGTCAGGTCCTTTCTGTGCGGTCAGGTCCTTTCTGTGCGGTCAGGTCCTTTCTGTGCGGTCAGGTCCTTTCTGTGTGGTCAGGTCCTTTCTGTGTGGTAAGTCACGTAGGGGTGGAGAAAGGGAATACTGTAGTTAAATTGGGGAGCACCTTTTGTTTAGGAGAAGAGGGGTGTGGGAGGTTGGCACTGCATACAATGCAAATTGCTCGTCAGATGGGGGGGGGGGTTGAAGGAAGTAGGAAAATTAATGAAAGAAGGAAGGGAAGGATGGATATAATTTTTTCACACAGCAGTATATTATTTTAGTTTTACATGCTTGAATTAGTAATACAGTAGAGAAGGACTCATATTTAATTATTATTATAATGTGCCATCCATTTTATTTTTTATGATTTATCTTTTTTTTTTCAGATTGTGGTTCAGATTTTAAACATAAGTACTGTACAATAATTAGATATTTACAATAATGTTATGAGGAGAAATATTGAGTGTGAGGTTAGAAATCACATTTATTTTTTATATTTACCAACACAGATCGTACAGAATCTCAATAGCCTGTTCAATGGCCTCCATTTTCTATGACCTTCTGGATTCTTCCTGGAACCAATGACACAAGAATGGACAAATCACATTCTATCCAACAATTATTTCTTAATTCTTTTTTCTTTCTTTTTAAATTATTATTTTTTTTTCTTCTAATAATTATTTTAAAGAACGGTAGCAACAGGAGGTGGAAGTGATCAAGGAACATCCTAGTTTTAGTGTTACTGGTGGTGAGCAAGGCTGAATGCAAAGCCATTCCCTCTCCTTTCTTCGGTTGTCATATTAGGGGTTTTCCCTCACAGAATGACTCTTTATAGCATATTACTTGCCAAATGCTCACTTGCATTCCTCCCCAGAATCTCAAGTAAAGGCATAGATAACTAGGGAAAAGTTAAGTCCATTTGACACCTACTAGATACATGCCCTCCTGTTTGGTTGGTTGTTTGGGCTTTAGGCCTATCAACTGCCAGGGTCATTATGGCTGTCAACATCATCAAACTACATCCATGAATCTTAACACCTTCCGCTGGTCCTTGACTTGCTTCCTCCTACCCTACTCTGGTCCACCACCTCTAGCCCTGCCCCCATCAATACCTCTCATCCCCTTGTGACCCGTAGTGTAGAAAGGCATTGAGCTCATGTGTATGGTAGGTAGGAGGGATGGATGATTACTTTTCACTGTAACTGTACAGTTTGCATCATAGGCAGTGAAAATATTTGGGGCTGATGGAGACATCTGGCATGTCCTAATGGAAATAGGTACAGTAGTATTTTTTCATGAATAAATCTTTCTGAGCTGACAAATCAGGGTGATTTATTCATGAAAAAATACTACCTAATACCTAAAAGAGATTGCAGATGTCTCCATCAGCCACACATTTTCTCACTACCTAGGATGCCAACTGCTCAATCATAAAAAAAATAAACATAGTGCTCTATGTGTAGTTTTGAAGTGTCAAAAAGCGTGCATATTGTGAGGTGGTGGTGGCTGCCACCTAAATAATGCCACCAGATGTATGAGAGTTTGACACTCTAATGAAAGAACCAGTAACTGGATTTTTTATTTATTTATTTATTTATTTATTTTTTTTTTTTTTTATGGGTATTAGCCCACCCGGGTACAGGTCACTGACCCACGTCGGGGCCTGGGGGCAAAAATGTAATAATAATAATTAGTTCATAGTAAATAAAATTTATAATAAAAAATTAATAAAGAACTGTAAAGAAGTACAGAAATTAAAAAAGATCAAAAGTGAGAAACAATATATCTATGTTGTGTTGTCAAAGTAAGAGAAACAATTGAGACCCTGCAATTGTGTGTAAATGAGGCACAAAGTCAGATCAGCAACTTGGGACTTGGTCACAATTTTCTTGATGCCATATGGCAACAGGGTCTACTATTTTGTTATAAAACTTCAACCTGTGCTGCTTATTGGTCTTCTAATCTTACATAGTGGTTGTTCTAATTCCATATTCCTGCACAAGATTGTGTGCAGGCATTGCATATTTCTATTGTCTTGTTCATTAAGATTTGTGCACTGCCTTATTTATAGAATCAGTATGTGGAGGATACAATATCTTCCCACAGTACTGGATATATTTGGATTTGCAATTTGGTTATTATTATGTGACGGTTAATTACTTGATTTTGATAATACTGTACTCTCAAATAGTTTGATCTTTTTACCATTTTACAGAACAGATGAATACGAATACATAGATGTATATAATAAAGGCTGGTTCCTCACTAGTGAAGAGCTGCGTGAAGGAAGAGCCGCAGGAGTTGAAAAAGACGAGTCGCTCCTGGCTTCATGTGAACCAATGCAAGTGTTTCAGCGGATGATTAGAAACATTATGAATGTTGCTCAAATGCAGAGCCAGATTTTTGACCTCATGGAACTCTTTTGTCCTGCAACAGAGCTGATGTGTCTTCTGATCCCAACTGATCGTAATGTACAAGAACTTCTTCTTAGGTAAGTTTTGACAGTGTGCATACGCATGCATCATGCATGTTTGTACATGCCTTTATGTGCGTGTTCTGTACTGTATGTTGTTAATCATTTAGTTTTCAATTCTCCATGATAATGAATGGGTCATTATACTTAGGTTGACTTCCATTAGGAATTATGCCCAGGCTTTATATAGATATCAAGATTTATTGTGTTTGTAGGATATACTACTCATCGGAGGTTCACTTTGACCGTATTGTGATTGGGTGTCGACGTCTGCTGGCTCAAGGTCCGTCTCCTTTACATGAAGAGATGCTGTCAGATTGTGAACAAATATTGAAGAATCAAAATGAATCACCAAAACCCATCATTCCTAACCAGAGAAACCGAGAAATTGCTTATGCCACTGGGCTTGTTATGCAACACAAGCGATACCACTACACTTGTGTGATCTTTGGTTGGGATAAGGTCAGTGACATTACTCTAATCATTTATTATCCTTCTGTGAAATCCATAAAAATCATTATAGAAAATGTTTTGCTATGTATTAAAAGTCCATTCTTTGTTCCAGGGTAATTTATGTTCAACAAAGCAATGTAAATTTAGTCTTTTACCACTGACTGACTTGACAAAAATTTTGAATATGTTCCTGATGGAAATTCTTGGTCAGAATTTGCTGAAAAAATATTGGTTTAGCACAAGTATAGATTTAATAAGTTTGATTAGATAATATAAGTTCATGCTCACCTAAAATGTCAGAGGAAATAGAGAATTTTGTTTTCCCTGAATAATTATTGAACTCATTGGCATGTTCTATTGATCTTGATTTATTTTATCCAAATACTTGACAGTTCCTCCATATTATCCCTTACCTTATTTTCTATCAGCAGTGAACACATTATTTTGTGAACAGTAACATGTGTTATTCTTACCATTGTAGCTAGTAAGCCTAGCCAATCACCCGGCTGATGTCCACAACTTGGTTTCCGTCATTCAACATCCATTTTTACCTCTTTTATTAATGGTTTTCCAACATTCTTTAGTACCTTTCTGTTTGTTCATTTTGCACTCATACTTACAGGGTTTTACTAGGTTTAACTGAAAAGTTACAATAACTGCATAGGACATGACTGGGTCTTAATCAATATGTCACTGATGCTGACACTGGTGGTGGGGTAACTGTGTGGCAGAGTACGTAATAGGTTTTATCTCATTATAAACAACGCACAAAGTGGTTATCACTTGTTGTTTGATAGTTACAGAATTACAGTATCCCGGTGCTCAGTATGTTCTTTAATTCGCTGGTGATGTAGCGAAACACCATAAATCCTTAAATAGGAGGAAAGTAATTAGAGAACTTATTGTCCACTCATTAGACCCTATGATTTACTCATTTATGTATTCTGTAGTTATTCTATTTTCTTGTAGCTCTTTGTTTGGGTGTTATACATGTATATAAAGTAATAAATATGTTTGGCAAATATTTTGGTAACTCTGATTCATTATTTCTACAACAGAGCTTTTACAAAAATGAGATTTGATGATTATACATTTATAAATGCAATTCATAAGCCTTTGGTTTGTACATACTTATTGAACAGGTGAGAAAAATTTCACATACACTTATTCATATGAGCAATAAATTAACGTTTACTCAACATAAAATATATGCATAACATATAGAGTACAGGAATACTGTGCCCTGCTATTTGCAACCCAACTTATCCATACTTGATATTTGCAAAGCATACCCCGCTTATTCGCAAATGAAAAATTATGATACCTTACAGTAATATTTGAAACCGGACAGACTAGCCACAGCTCTCATATTCTGATGTAAGTCCCGCTTCACTCAAGCATTTATTTTATTTTATATATTTTTTGCTCCTATGTGTACATAACCGTACTTTTCAGAAATTAATAAAGTTAAATGGGACCGTTCACACGTAAGCATTTCTTAAGTCCGCAGGAGTAAGAGTGCAGATTGTAGGAGGGACAGAGGGGAGCGGGAAGGAGGTATGGTGTCAGGATTTCATTCTTCCCGTACTGGGCCAAGGTGTGAGCTGTGCTAGTGTTATTTTTCAAAGTGTAATTTTGGGTACATATATGTTATTTTCTTTAATTATTTTTACTCTGTTACGTACATGCACAATTGTTCAAATAGAATTTGCAAAAAAAAATAAAAAAAATAATTATCATAAGGACGAAAACATAAAGGGATAAACATTTCGTACATGCGCAGTAGTTAGCCCACAGATTCTGGCAGGAGGGACCAAGGGAGCAGTGTTGGAGATCTCAGCTGCTCCAGTCTCCCATGTGTAGTGCAACTATTGCCATTTGGCAATATGATATGTTTTATTTTATTTTATTAGTATATTTTTTATTTATTCCTCACTGGTGCTACAGTATACACAAGACACTGGTCCCCAATAGCCTCGGATAATGATGAGTGCATTTAAAATAATATGTTGCATAATTATCTGCTGGGAATGTATCCCCCCCCCCATATTTACATTAATTCTTAAGGGGAAAATTGCCCTGATATTTGCAAATTTGTTATTCGCAATGACTTTTAATAATGCATCCCTTGCAAAAACCAGGGTATTTCTGTAGATGCTTCCCAATATGCATGGTTACATATTAGTAGATCTTGTGGAATATAGGTCTGTTGCACCTATGGTAAAAATGGGATCAGGTTCCCGAGTCCCAAAGAGGGAAGTTAGTTTTCTACGTGGCGTTTTCAGCTGCAGATCTTCCACTTTCCATATTATATTGTACAGTGTTCCAGTTATGCAACTAAAGGCAAAATACTTTATATCTTCTGACATAATTTTCATGCAAAAATTAATATTATAGGAATGCAAAATGCCAGCTGCATGGGTACGCCGAATGGGTGTACACAATCTTCAGTACAAGACAAAGCAGCCATTTTATAATGTTCTTGTCTATGATGGGTCACACAGGTATGTAACAAGAAATGGGTATATGTTGATGCTAGTGATGAATTTTGATTATGAATACTAAGTAAATAACTATCCTGCAAATTATAATCACAGCATGTTACCATCCAGATATGCAGCTCAGGAGAATTTGGAAGTGGCATCAGATCCTAACCCTGTGACTCATCCTGATATTGGCAAGTACTTTAAGGAATTCAGAGAAACGCACTACATACCTAATAATGAACTGCAGCAACAGTATCCTGATGATGAACCAGTGAGAAATGAAAACTTGAGAGTGAGAAATTTTTTATAGAGCTGCCATGAAGAGACTTTCAAGTGAATGCCAGTTATTATTATTATTATTATTATTATATATATATATATATATATATATATATATATATATATATATATATATATATATATATATATATATATATATATATATATATATATATATATATATATATATATATATATATATATATATATATATATATATATATATGTGTGTGTGTGTGTGTGTGTGCGTGTGTCACTAATCCAATAGGTGGAAGCATCCTTTTCTCACTCCATAGAGCATTGCAAAGTCTATCTTTTATGTGGGTGAGTGAATAGTACCAACACCACACCATTTCATTAAACCACTGATGGAACTGAGGAAAGCCTCATCCAACAATTGATTGGTCTGGTTGGAAATTAATATTAGTCATATATTGGATCGCAAAAAAGGTTAACCATGTGTGAATTTTTAATCCTATGGTAAAATTCTTGTCCAGCACACTTGAAAATTCATATTGGTGAAATTTGGTGTTTATTTTATTTTGCAGATTTTTTTGTGATAACTATTTAAATGATAGTTACTTCCAGTTACATGTCATTTTATTGTGTAATCACATTTACATATTCCATTTTGACAAAAAGTCATCAGATGCCTCCAGCCACCCTTGAAGGTTCTTCGATGACCCTTGTCTAATTAAGTTGTATTGAAGAGGTAAATTGTTCTTTCATGGTTATTATTTGTAATTTTAACACTGTCTGTCAAGAATTAATCTCTTGTCTTAGAAAGCTACTTGTGGAATCATATTTTTTCATATTATAATTTACTCAAAATATTAGGCTTAGCTCTACTGTATAATCCTTATTGTAATCCGTTTAACTTATAAGGGAAAGATTGTCACTTTCTCTGTGTGTTGTACAGAGTATAATATTGGGAAGTGTGGCAGCACTTAAACTTAATTTGTTCTTAGGGTTTTGGGAAACTAATTTCATTACAGTTCTGCACTGTACTGTAATTACAATAGAAAATGTACTGGTATATTACCCAGCGGCGGCTCATGGTAAAATAAAATGGAGGGACTGCAAGCTTTACACAACAGTAGGGTACACAAATTTGACCGACCTCAGTTATGAGTTGATGTCCACGTATTTCCACGGCATGGTTGTAATGGTGGTGGTAGAAGGGATGGTGGGGGTGGTAGTGGTGGTGCTAGGGATGGCGGGGGTGGTAGTGGTGGTGCTAGGGATGGCTGAGGTGGTGATGGTAGTATTACTTGAAAATAAAATCGGTGCGTCGGCTCTTCGGTGTTGCAAAATGGCCTAATACTTTTTCATTAAAATCCTTCATTTCTGTTATCATTTGCTTTTCAGTGGATATCATTTGCTTTTCAGTGGATATCATTGCTAAAGCAGAGTCTGTCATTCACCATGGTACTGAGCAAAAATGTTTTAATTCTCTTAAAAGTTGAATAGCACTTTTCTGCTTCTGCCGTTGTCATTGGAGTTGTTATTAAAATTTTCAGCGACTTGATAGTGTCTGAAAATGTTAACTGTAGATGATTGTCGTTCATCATCTCCAATAAGTCTATAAGACTTTCTGATTTACACAAATCTTCTCTTGTGTACAATACAGTAAGTTCAGTTCTCAATTAGTCTTTTTCAAGCAGGGGATAGGCTGCAACTGCTTGTGCAAGTTCATTACTTGGGAAATTTATGGCATACACTGGAAAATTAGTCACTAAAAGTAACTTGCTTGTTTCCAAATGATTAGTAAAGCTGAATCTCTCTCTGCTCTGCAGCAAAATTACGTCACAGACCTCCTTTGCAGCAGCTGATCTATCTGTATTAAATTTTCTTCTCTTCTGCTCAGGAGGCAACACTATGGCAATATGGCATCATTTTCATCTCTTAACTTCTGAACTGTGGAATTAAAAACTTTTAAAGAGGTGTTAGCTTTTGCTGCATCAATATTTCTTGAATGAAGCTGAGAGAACATGATGTCAACATGAGGCATTACTTGGTGTATCTCCAACTCGGCCCATTTTCAACTCGGCCCATCTTAAATAACCAATTTGGCCCACCTTGCACGCTTCAAACAAGTAGCTGACTAGAGGCTCTAGAATGACTTTGTGATATGTTTTATGTCTCTTTTGCTTCACTGAAATACGAAGAGAGTGAATGAGTGAATACTGAGGGTTCAAACGGTATGAAGGACAAATTTTATGAGTATGTTAGTAGAACTTGATCAATGAACCATGATTCACATTCGTAATTTGTGCTTCTCCAGGTGATTTCGAGTAGGGTTTGAAATTATTGCTTCCAACAATTTGCCTACAATTGATGTTAAACTGATTGGACAAAACTGGTGTATGTCTTCTTCTTGCTTAAATTTTAGTCTTTTCATTTAATGTCAGCTGGGAAAAGTTGATGCTTTGCAAATACTTCACTCGATTTTCCATCATCAATGGGTAATTAAAGAAAGCATGGCTTAGCCGCACCGTCAACACGCAATGTAAACACAAAATTGAACTGCACCAACTACAGCTTATTGTTTCCAGATGTGGTACCAATTAATAACAGACATGAATCGTACAGCAACTATGAAAGTAACTTAAATTTTGGTCTTGTTTTAATGAAAATTCACTTAGTAATGTACTGAAAATAACATATACCCCTGTAATGACTTATTATTATGATATGTTTGTTAGTAATGTATTATTCTGCTGTGTGTCTGAAGGAATAATACGCCTGGCAGTGAGTGTCTGGGGGGGGGGACTGCAGCTCTGCAACTCCTTGGCACGAGCCGCCACTGGGATATCTACACACAGCTACATTAACTCAGGTTAGAACTACAGTGAGGATCTTTTATCTAGAATGCTGGGGTAGTAGGCAGCAGGCAGCTATCAAACAGGGAGGTACTACTTCTTGGGAAGATATTGGAAGCATAATGTGTTGTCTAATGGTAGACCCTGCTGCCATATGGCATCATAAATTTTTTTACCAAGACCCAGGTTGCTGATCAGACTTTCCTCATTTACACACAATTGCAGGGTCTCAATTGCTTTCTTACTTTGACACCACAACTTATACTTCGTTTTCACTCTTGATTTCTGGGTAGTGTAATTTTTTCAATTTTCAGTATTTATTTTTGATTAATTATTTTTTCCGTCCTCCGGGCCCTGGTGTGGCTAATCCCCATTAAAAAGAGGGGGGTGTCTGGATAAGGGATTTTTCCATAATTTGGAGCATTATGCCTAAAATTTATTAAAAACACATGTAAAAATAACACAAAATAGTTTGCTACAAATTTGATTATTTTTGGAATTAAGCTGGGCAAAAACAAATGCAATAATAATAATCCCTAGATAACTTTGGAATAAAGAAATACAGTAATGGGAGGAATTATGAAATACAACTACCAAATAACAATGCTGTGGTTGTTCATAAAACACTGAATTTGTGAATAAAATCTGGCAGTACTGTACACCTGCGCCATAAGTTACCTAACTTAACTCAACTCAGGATAATGATTTTTTCCACATAAAAGAAAAATGTAAATACATTATGGTTGTAAAGAAAACACTGAATTTGTGAGTAAAATCTTACAGTACATGTGCAGCAGTACAAGTTTCTTAACCTTATCTTTTCTTAACCTAACCTTTCCTGACCTAACAACTCATGATAATTATTTTTCTACACAAAAAGAAAAATGAGAATTCTATGGATAATGAGTTAAGGAGTTAACCTCAATTACAAGGCATCATCTGAGGAGATATCAGGATCATCTGGGGAAGAAGGGGGAGCTGTAGAAACACAGGTGCCAGAGGTTGAAGGATGAGGCTCAGACTCGGGTTCTATAGAGGCTTTGTTAAAGGCACTTTGAAACAATTCTTGCAACGTAAATTGTTTCATATGTTTTGATCCGTCCTTTAGCAAGTGTTCTTTAATTTTAAAGACACATTATTTGTTGCTCTTATATGAAACTCTTGTTCTATGCCACATATCATTTCTTCAGTAAGGCTTGTTATCCTGTCAATAGAAATTTTATTTTCTGCACTTACATTCTGTTCATCGTTATCACTATCTTTATCTGAATTTTCATTCATCACTGTATCACATATTTCACTGTGTCATCTGCAGGGTTACTGGATCATCATTGTCAATATTAGGCACACATCTGAGCTTCTGGACATGGCAAACCCTTAGCATAGTTAACTAACTCTGCCACAATTTTTTTTCCTGACACCCTAAAGCCATAAAAATCAATATCTTGTTCATTATCATCATCTAAAAATAATGTGGAGTTCCACAAGTTATGCCATCCAGCAGTTAAGTATTTTTATCAACCTTGTCCCATGCCTTTGCAACACTCCAAATAGCATCTTTGACATTAAATTTACTTCGATATTCTTTCATTCCAACACCTTTATTGCATTGTCAACAATTTATGTAAGAAATAGTCCTAATAATGTGACTAGAATGACCACAGAATTCCTTGGTCAAGAGGCTGAATCTAGGATGTACAGTTAGGTGGTAGCAAACACATTATCTTTGACTTGGAGCTGTGCATCAGGGTGCGCAGAACAATTATCTAAAACTAGCGTAATCTTGGCATCACTGGGAAGCGCGTGTAAATGTACAGTGTGTCCTAGCCTCATGAACAAAATGGTTTTCAAACCACTCTAAGAAGATTGGTCTGGTTATCCATGCTTGCATATTATCCGTATATATAACATAAAACTTTGATACCTTTTAATGCTCGTGGCTTTCTGCATTTACCAATAACAAGCAGTTTTGCAATATGTGTCCCTGCTGCATTAGAACATCCAAGCACAGTTAGTCTTTCTTTCAAGTTTTTAAACCCACTTGATGCAGACTCCTATGGTGTTTCAACTGCCTCCTGTGGAAGATAACTCCAATATAAAGAAGTTTCATCAGCATTGTACACTTGCTCTGCTTACAGGTGAGCATCAGTAACTAATTTATTAAATTTCTCCAATTAGGCTTCAGCAGTATCATAATCAGCTGATTCCTTTTCACCGCATATGGCCAAGATACAATGTCATTCCATTTCCTAAATTTTCCAAAGGTGGTAGTGGAGCTTTGACGGTCGGGATTCACGGAGATAACCGATTCTACTGGTCTTCAGACATCTCCCCAGAGTAGTGGAAGCATCATCCACGCTATAGACACGGGACAGGCTCTGATGGGACCTGTGGGTGAGGATCGTGGTGGCTTACTGACCGTTTGAAAACGAACAACAACGTTTCAAAGGGACGTTAAGGACGTAAAAAATACTTCACTCAAAGCACATCAACTACGTTACTGTAACACTTGCACAATCAAACTAATAATTAGGTCAAATAACTTAAAATGGCGAGTTAGAACACGGAGAAGGTGGAATGACCTACCTGTGGGTGAGGATCGTGGTGGCTTATTGACTGTTGAAAAGCAACCGCCACCCCCACCCCCCACGCTAGGTCACGGATTCCACCTACTTAACCATTTCACTGCATTACGTTACTGTACACTCTGACGTTTGAAATTGAGACTACGAACTCAAGTTTCATTCCCTAATATTCTCTTCACACACAATGCTCTGACTGAGCTATCAAAGGCAAGAATTTAAATTGATCACAAAAGGCTGTGGATGGCAATCCCGGTGAGCAGGTCTCAACACGCAGCGCCTTACTACGACCACGAAGAGCAGGTCTAAATGTTCCCTTCAGGAATATTAACTAATTCCATAGTTAACATCCCTACAACAATTTCACTGTGATTATCAGGGTCTCTGATATTCATAGGTGAAAAAGGGTTTACAGGTCTCGGTAGAAGAAAGAGTTTACAAACTCGGTCAACAAACTACGACATCTCGATGACGTCATCAAAGAAACAGAGAAAACGGAGGACGTTTCCACTGGGGGACTCGGAAGGTTTTGTGGACGTGTAAGTGTAATATGAATCTTTATGTTTTAACAGGCTAGCCGTCATTACGATCATGACACCGATATTTATTTAGTAACTGTAAAACTGGGAATTTTGAAAATGCAGTACTAAAATATTGCAGGGAAGAAATTTTTACAGACAGTGTTCTGGCATGACTCTTGGCCATCAACATATCCACCATTTTATGGCTATTTTCAATGCTTGTATGGGTTAGCCATGTTTACTTCATGGCAGCTTTCCAAGTTGCTCTGTCTGTTACAACCCCCCATTTTAGCCACCATCATGCAAATTTGAAGTAAGTTTTACAGCTGGATACCTTTCTTATCAGAACCCATTTTACAGAGTGGGATCTGGTTATTAAATGTAGGACTAACAGCATCCTCTTAGCTGGCAAGGCATGATTACTATTCCCTGAGATAAGAAAAATTATCCGTCTACAGTAACTCTATTGTGAGAGTGTAATGAATTAACTAAAATAAAAGAATGTGGTCACTTCCCATGGTTTATGTCCTGGCTTATCTTGGGTGTAAATATACAGTAAAACACTCTGGACTAATTGGGGGGGGGATTTAATCCAGAAAATTTCTGGATAAACCAAGAAATATCTGGATGACAAATCGGATTGCTGTCTGGCACACATGAACGCCTGCCCTAGCCACTTTGTCTACAAACCAGTTGCGCTGCTACAGCTCTCGTGTGTACATCTCTTAACTCCTGGGAACTATTTGTGACTGGAATAATTACCATGGCTTCCAACTGCAAGAGAACTTCAAGAGGAAGGCCATGAGAAAGGTGTGTGTAAAAGTTTTGATGGAGAAATAGGACTTGAAAAATCAACCATCAGCAAATTTGTGGTAAATACTGTACTGTTTGTACAAGAATTATTGTATATACAGTATTATACTTCAGGTAAGTGATTCAAAAAGTGGTTTTTTTTTTGCCACCACATGGTTAGATCCAGACTGTTTCATGTTACTTCAGACTCAATCTGGACTAACAGAAATTAGTCGAGAGTGGCTTGCCAGTCCCGATATAGCAGAAATCCGGATAAAAGGAGTCTGGATTAAGAGGGATTTACTGTTGGCTCACTTGGTAGTTAGTATTTCCTGTCAAGTACTACAGCAGATTCAGCATTTTTAATAATTTTCATTATTTTTCAATATCTCTTAACTTAATTTCTAGTGTTAACATATTCTCAGCCTTCATAATGAGTGTTTTTCTTGTAGAATAGCTTGAAGGATGCTTTGGAAGAAGCTGTTACCAATGGCAAAAAAAAATTATTCTGAGTGCAAGAATCCTCACACAACAAGATCCAGGTGTGTTTTGATGCACGTTATATTTTCCTAAACATTATGTTCAGGAGAAATGAAAAGTGGAATGCACACCTGTATACATGCAAAATTTAGACCAGCATAAAAACATTAAACAAAAAGTAAGTCTTGCAATTATGAATCTGTTCCTTGCAAAACTGGTATAAATGAGGACAACCAGTGTTCAGAAAGTCATTAGAAAACAATGAACATGAACCCAAGCACTGGTTAGTAAACAGCTTCTAAACAGTATGCACAAACGTGATTATGACCAGCCATAGCGTTGCTGTTTGGAGGACATTATTTGCAGGGTATTTGGTGTTATTTGTTATGTGAAGTCCTATGGTTTATTTTAGCATTTTAGCATTTTCAAACATTTATTTTGGTACTACTCAGACCTATAATCATTGCTGCTATGAAACTGTCTTAAGTACAACTTACTACAGTCTAATCTAACTGGTGTTATTAAAATAAATAAATAAATCTACAACCAGACAAATATCCACAGCACAGCCTCAACAAAAATACTCGTTATCTTTTAATCCTTTTAATTTATAGAAAACGAACTTAAAACAAGAAACAGAGAATGGAAATATATTTCAAGGATACGAGCGTTCACTTCACACATGACTAATTAGCTGCTAAATATAAGCTTCATTTACTTGATCTTGGTTCAACTTTACACCTAATAATTTATATAGATCTTTATTTTTTTTTCCCAGTTAATTCATTACGAACAATGTAAGAGCAAAACACTTCTCAAATATCACGCTTTTGGTTGATTTCTCTTCCTGTCTTCACACAGTATAACTCCATGACATACTACATAAAAACAGGTAATTAATTTCTCATGTTTTCGATTTAAAATGTATTTAAAAACAAACCATTAAGAAGCTACACAAATTAATACTAAAGTGACCTCCAATAAGACTTAAAATGGGTACAAGGGACACAATACGTTCCAATAATTTATGTGTATTTAACTAGATTAACGTTTTTATTTTTAAGAAACATGAAGATATTAAAATAAAAATATATAAAGATAATTCGATTAAATGAATTACCTTACCATAACTTTTAAGAGAACATGAAGTACATAGGATAAAACGACTTTCATCTGTTTTCGTCAGTCAACTCTTCGCGTTGTGTGGGACTGGTGTTGTCGTCGGTGTTCACATGGAATACTTCATTCTCTATAACTGAGCTTTTAAAGTTCATTGACTGATAATGTTGTTAACAGGGTAAGTTATTCTTAACGTATATATACTACTAATTCCCTCTAGTTGAGTGGGGAAATGGAGAATATGCCTCAAGTGGTTGAAGCTTTGTGTTTTGCGGATGTCTGTGTAATTCCTTCACCGACCATGTAGTTTGGTTGTTTATTAAAAATATGTTAAGGCTTGTAGCTTAATATAACCTTAGTAGGAAAGAGTCAGGCTGAAACAGAAAGGTTTTATTTGTTTTATAATCACTGGTTCACTTGTAGCACTCATGGTAAATGAATGTGTCAGTCCAGGGAATGATCGATAGGTAATTATTGTGATAATTTTGATTTACTGCAATTTTTGACGGGGGAAGGAAAGCTTTGATGTAGTTTATATACCCCTTTTTGTCGGATGAGTGTTGAAGAATCCAATCTTAGTGAGTACCCGGAGAAACCTGCCATGTTTGGTAGTCATACTGGATAACCCTTCTCAAAACCACTCTGGGGATTGAACCCTGGGCACGGTATTGAGAAGCAAGCACACTTCCCTATGTGATACTCATTAGGTCAACATTTGGTTATTTTGGCCAAATTCAATGGTTGGCTTTTAATAAATTTTATTTATTTATTTTTTGTGTAGCTTTGTTTACTGGTTGTCTGTGCAGTTTTGTGTCAAGGATGTCGTTACTGAAGTAAGTGTAAAAGGAAATGAAGTGAGCCACTCGTGAATGATATACAGTACTTTAAATTTGGATTTTAAGCATTTCAGGAATTTTAATTTATGTAGTGGATATTTTGCCGTGACCGGCTAAGTTCCTACTAAGACTATTACAGTGAGTGTGTTTGGATTGGCTAATAACTTTCTGTTTAATATGACGGGGAGTCCACACCCTGGCTAGGAAGTTAGGTAGGTTTTTTTGGATGGTTAGGTCAGGTTCTAGTAAATGTCGCCTCTTGTAATGATAAGAACATTTGTGGAAAAATTTAACAAAATCGGGTAACTCCTCCAGGTGGTACAGTAGTGGTGTTCTCAAACATTACTGTATTTAAACCTTTGTACATGTTAGGTAAGGTTCTCAAAGGTTTGTTTGGTGTTCTTTTTAGTATTTTACCCCACACTTTCTCTCTATTTGTCAAGTAAGTCACCCATAGAATTGATTTTTACATCATGGTTATTTGAGAAATAAATGGCTCTTTGTCCTTGGTTACCTGAATATTGGAGATACTGTATAGGGGAGATGTAAGAAAATACAGTGACATGAAATGACATGTTAATATTTTCCTTGTGAGCAAACCTAGCCTTTACATTTTACATGAGAAGAAGTACACATTTAAGGATATTTGGAGAGTCCTTTATGCCCTGCTTTTTAGAGCTTTAGCTTGCTTGGAGAGAGAATGATTTCTGAAAGCAGAGAGTTTCATTGTTATAAAGCATGAGGAATAAAAAACCCAGATAAGAATAGGTGAATAAACCAAATTAGTTATGCCTAACCAAACCAGTTATGCCTAGCTTAGCCAAAGTAATTATACCTAGCCTAACCAAAGTAATACTTATGTTCATGCCATGAGTTGAGTCATAGGAGTTCAATTATTATGTTTTTCCTTTTTTATTATGCTAGGCTCATACTGCCATTTTTTTGTTGTTGCATAAATTTTCATCATATGATAGAAACCACATACTGTACTGTACTTCAATGTAAAAGAGTAGTATACACTACAGTACTTGTTATTTTTGTATGCTAGTTTTTCTTTCAACTGTTTTCTCATTGCAGAATTTTATTCCTTAACCTTGGATATCATTCACCTTTGAGTCACTTGCCATTGCACTGTATACAGGTATATGCAACAATCCCCTTTTTTCTGTTGCAGAGACAAGTTTTAAAAGTTGTGGAATTCTGAAAACAAAGGAGATCAGTTGATCCCTTGCCAAGGTAAGTGATAAACCATTTGGTTTTGATGTACGGTATAGAGTAGAAATTAAAATTGGGCATGCACCACTGTTTATTGATTAGATGATTTTTTCTTGTGTGGAGAAGAGGAAATGTACATAATAGTACGACAGATGTGTAAGCAAGGCAATGTACAATGTAGTATGGAACGTGTGTCAAGTCAATCTAAGTCATTAATTACTTGGGTCTGGTGCCATGTGTTACAGCAAGGTTTGAGAGGTTATGTATACAGTATATTCCTCTATGGTTTGGATATTTGAGTCTCTTGATTTTAACAACAAATTGGTGGAGATATTCTATTTGTTTTGTAATGCTTGCAAGTTTGCAAAGAGACAGTTTAAATATCTTGGCATTACCGTACTCTACTGTAATTGCCACAAAAATGCTATTGCTACTTTTAAATCCCTGCTAAGTCAGTGTAAAGTACTAAGATTACTAATTAAGTACAGTACTGTATTATAATAATTTCAATTTTAATATATGACCAAAGTAAGCAAAATTTAGTATCCGGATATCCTGTCTGACTAAATATTGTGCAGCTAGCACATTATTGATACTGTAACTACAGGTCAAAAAACCTTCTTAGTTCACCCTAAACAGTTAGTGTATGGATTTCTGGATGAAAGTACAGTATGGAAAACAATAAAAGAGGGTGTTTTTTTCCCCCCATTACAGTAATTGTGTTACAGTACTGTACTGTACTCTATTTCCATAACTCACCCCCTTCAGTGCCTCCCATCCCTCCTTGCGGTTTCACTGTATATATCCCCACCCTAAATGTAAGTGATAAATATGTTAAGAAAGATTAATGATCCCTTTCTGTGAAAAGCGACTTTTGTGATTTTTTATTTATTTATTTTTTCCCTGTACAATATACAAGTATTATCAAGTTTTACTCTCCCTGATTTCCCTAAAGAGCAGCTGGCCCTTCGTTTTAATAAGGGATCTACTAAATGAAAGACTTACCATCTTATTTATAACTAGCAGAGATGGGCATTTTCAAACAGTACAGTACAGTATTTTACAGTATACCTAGCTACTGTATATTGTATATTATTCCGCTCAATGATGCTGATGTATTTTTATGAAAACTTTATAAAGCAAGACAAATTTAAAAGCCATTAATAAGAAATTGTCCATGTTCATATTCAATTTATTGATATTGCATAAATGTCAATTGAACACATTACACGTAAACCAAGATGAGGAAGTTCACACTCGACTGACACTGTACATTACATGTACTGAGAACATGTAACACCTAAGCTGGTAATTCTGGTATGGTCAGATGCATGACGGTTCTGAAAATGTTTAATTAGACCTTGGAATAGAAACAAATAGTATAGTATTCTGGCACTATAAACATCAGAGTACAGGGTACAGTAGTACTCAATATTATGAATGGTCAGATAAGAACATAAGGAAATAAGGAGTCTGCAATAGGCTGGTTGGCCTGTGCATGGCAGCTCCTGTCGAGAGTTACTACCACTCTATCATCCATGAATCTATCTAGCCTCCTCTTAAAACTTTCCAGCGTTCCAGCACTTACTACAAAGTTGTTAAGCTTGTTCCACTCGTCCACCACCCTATTTGTGAACCAGTTCCTTCCTATCTCCTTCCTAAACCTAATTTTATTCAACTTAAATCCATTGCTACGAGTAAGGGATCTAAACGTTATAAAAAAAAAGTGTCAAAATACTACCTGTACTATTGGAAATACAATACAGTACTGTACTGTGCTTGGTGAGACATGCTCACCTACATCACCCAATTTTGACAAATATTGTCGCTATTGAAGGCAACTTTTTCCTTACCCTAAGAAAGTCACGTATCAAGTTGGGTTGCAATTTTTATAAACAGGCATTGTCTTTAATTACTTAATCTTGTTTGCTGTTTTTGATGTAAGGAGGTTCAGTTAAATATTTGTTGAAAATACTGTAGATGGTTTAGATGCACAGGGCTAAAATTACTGTACTGTACATGTATCCCCTGATCTGCGATCTCCCTATCGATGATATTCCTCTTTAATGAGGTAAACAATCCTCATGGATAAACGATGGTCATCGTCTGGCCAAAGCACTTTACTGCAAGAAACATAGCAAAAATCACTTCACATTCACCAAAACAGAGTATAATGTGAGCATAAGTGATATCCGCTCACTGTAAGGTAAAAAAAAAGAACACCGATGATAAGTAAGAACACCAATACTGACCAGTGGAACATAAATTGCTACTGTAGTGCACTGGGTGGCAACGTGACATAGTTCATGATGACGACAAGGATTTGCACATTATCAAGGTAAACTTTTTCATTTGCACCCCAGGGGGCTCGTCAGTTAATTCCTAGGACAAATTTGAGTTGTGATACTTGTAAAAATGTATTTTGGCATCCTTGTAATTTTTTCAACAATTCATATACTGTACTGTATAATGTCATTTTCTGGAAAAACATGACTTAATAGAAAATTGTAAATGCCATTTTGATTTCCTTTTTCTTGAGCAATTTTACACATTATCTCCAATCGTTTTATGATGCTTTATTCCAGAGTTATCGCAAAAAATTTATTTTTGAACTTTCCATGACTACAGTATCTTTGATCTTTGACATTGGCCTCCCAAACAGTTCAGTGCTTACTGTATGCAGTACCGGTAACCAACTTAGCTAGTTCTTCTATGATGTGCCGTCAGATTTTGGTGCTTACTATATGGCAGAGATTTGCTCATATCTTTATTGGTGATAGTATGGAAACATAAACAGACAGGTATTCCCCTACACATTTTTTAGTGTGAAAATCCATGGTGATGCTAAGGTGCTTTTACATACTTTTTGGATATTGGAAACTGTTTACAGTACTGTATAGGATTTGTGTCCAAACATCCAATTACTGTACCAGTGCCCGTTAAATGGCCGACCAAGCTTTAGATCAACTTACCGGGTAATCGGATTGAATATCTCTTGATTTACTGTACAGTACACATAAAGACCACAATTGTTGAAGCACAGAAGTATATGAATTTGGTTACTAGCCCGCAGGTAACGTATGAAAATATTATGAAAGTTTAACTGTTTATTAGCTAGCTACATGTTCTATTGGTTTTGAGAATTTCAGCAAGGGGGTTCAATCATCAAAGTGTGAATAGCTAAGAAGCTTTATTCCCCATAAAAAGAAGAAATGTGCATACTGGTCAATTATGTGGATTTGTGTGAAACTTATTTTGCTTATTTTGGTTGTGAGGGAATTTATATCATGACATTGTCCTGAATTTCTGAAGGTCAATTTGATATACCGGTAGTGTTTGTTAAGAAACATTTGTTTTGACTAAACAGTTGACAAGCTTACTAAAAAAAATTTAGTGTTGATAATAAACAGTGTCATTGTTCATCTTGTTATTTAAGGATATGTTAAAGTAGAAAAATTCATACTATATGAGTTCATAAACAAATGAACTGGTAGAAAAAAGGAGCTTTATTTTTTAGTTTGCAGTACGCTAAAGTTGAGGGATCAATTTAGCCATGAATAGTTGTACTCTATACCTAGATATTTTCCCATATGGAATTGCTTTCGTCTGAAGGATACATAGCCATCCATGATGGTATAGGCTCCTTTATCTGCCTCCTTCCTCTCTGCCTCCTTCCCACTCCTGTGGTCTCTCACCATTGCAAGTCACTGCCAAGCGTCCCATAGCTTACCACACAAGATCCATTGCCATTGTTTAAATGAAAGGAACAATTATGGTTATTGGATGGTTGCATGGCTATTTTCACTAGGCTCGAGTAGTGGAGTAATTAAGGTTAGCTGTGCGGTTTCTGGGTTCTCAAAGATTTTTTTTTATTTATTTAATTATTATTTTTTTTTACCCTAACCAGGGATGAGAAAGTGCCTCAGGTCAAGACAATTTCAGTGCAACTTCGATGTCATTTAGTTTGCCAGATGTAGTTCCGTATCTTACGTGAGATAGCGGGAAATGCTCTCTCACAGGAAGGTGCCTCACCACTACTGCCTCTCACGGTGCCCGGAATGGCCGTGACCTTTGTTGTGTGCCTCGGCTTCAGTACTTTACAGCAACACTGAACCCACTTTATCTACCAGCCCTAATTAACCTACCTGCCTTACCTACCTACAGTTGCCCTGGTCCGTAGATACCAACCATGTCTTCAGTGTTGCGTAAAACTAAGCTTTATTGACTGCTTGATCGTTAAGGTTTATTATCCTTGACTCCTTTGATTGAATGTACAGGGGGCCCCCCAACTTCCTGGATTTTTTTTCGCACTCATCTATTATTTGCGGATGACACCCTGGATGTACCCAAGATTTTTTGTGGGTAGTTTTAAAGTTGCCGTAACTTTCATGGCTGGGACAGGGAGCCATTCGTTCTAGAGACAGTAATTTCCTTTACCTGTATTGTAAATATGTGTGGGTGTACACACACACACAAAACACATAGTTTACAAATAAATATTAATTGGAAAATCCTCTCACAAATAATCAGAAATAAATTTATTAAAAATGTGACAGTCTACCCTCAAGTTTGTGCTTTATGACTTTATTAATGAAGCACGTACTTGAGTGTAGACTGTCACATGTTTAAGAAATTTGTTTCTCATTTTTGTGAGTATTTTCCCATTATTATTTATTTATATGTGTTTTGTTTGTACGTGTCTAAACACACACACACACACACACACAATACAGGTAAAAGAACCAATTGTCCTAAGGGTAAACACATCAAGGGAATAGAATATATTTCTTTGTACACAAGTAAAAATTCCCCCCCCCCGGTCCGCAAATATTATTCACGGATTTGGCGATTTTGAGAACCTAATTCCTGCGAATTTTTCTTGGGAGCTGTACTGCAACTGCATATACCGACACCCTATCTACTGCTCCCTGACCATCAAATGCAAATGACATTGCAGAGTTTTCAGTATTGTGGCACACCAAGTTCACCAATATGGCACCACATTGGCCTAAGGCTCAACA